AAAAATGCAATCAGAGTTAAATGAGTCTTTTGCTTAAAATGAACCAGACGGCTCAATCAATAAGAACAAAGCATGCCTGGTACTAAAAGGTTATGCTTAATGTCAGGAGTGGATTTGGAGAGACATTTGCCGTAGTAGCAAGACATGAAATGATAAAGTTTCTGTTTGCTGTGGTAGCACAAAGATGTTGGCATGTCTTGCACGTTAATGTAAAATGTGCTTTTTATAATGGTGAATTGGAAGAGGACATATTTGTCAAGCAATTGATGGGATTTGAAGTAGAAGAGAAGGCTGATCATGTGTATAAATTACATAAAGCACTGTATGGCTTGAAGCGAGCTCCTAGAGCATGGTATGGCAGAATTGATGCATACCTGCTCCACTATGGGTTTAAAAGAAGCAAGAACGAAGCAACCCTATATGTCAAACACCTAAAGGCTGGAAAAATGGTCATCATCTCATTGTATGTTGATGATATTCTCATAACTGGAAATGATGAACAAAGAATGGAGGAACTTAGAACACAACTAGAACAGGAATTTGAGATGTCAAACCTTGGGAGAGCAACCTATTTTCTGGAAATGGAGATCGCGCAATATCAGAAAGGAATCTTTATATCACAAAAGAAGTATGCAAGGGAATTGCTCAAAAAATTCAAGCTTGAAAATTGCAAAGCCGTATCTACACCTCTCATACCATATATTAAACTGTCAAAAGCTGAAGAAGAAGAAAGGGTGAATGAGAAAGAGTTCAGGAGTAAAATTGGCAGCTTACTCTACCTAACTGCCACTCGACCAGATCTAACTTATGCAACCAGCCTGTTATCTCGATTTATGAATTCACCAAGACAATCACACATGGTAGCAGTTAAGCATATCCTAAGATATGTAAGAGGAACCACTGATTTGGGAATCCATTTTCAAGCTCACACAGAAGGAGAGCTTCTAGGATACACGGACAGTGACTGGGCAAGAAGTGTGGAGGATGCTAAAAGCACATCGGGTTATGTTTTCTCACTTGGTTCTGGTGCATTTTCATGATCGTCAAAGAAGCAAGAAATTTTTACACAGTCATCCGTCGAAGCTGAATACATAGCAACAGCAGAAGTTGTAAATCAAGCTCAATGGTTAAGGAAAATACTAGATGATTTACAGATGTTTTCCACTGAACCTACAATCCTCTACATCAACAATAAATCAGCAATCGTCACTACTAAGAATCCGGTGTTGCATGAAAAGACTAAGCATATAAAGGTTAAGTTCCACACTATAAGGGAAGTAGAAAAGGAGAAAGAAGTAAGCCTAGTACACTATGCAACAGAAGATCAAGTAGCAGAAATCTTTACCAAGTCCTTGCCAAAAGGTAAATTTGAAGAAGTAAGGAAAATGTTGGGGATGACTAAAATCCTTAAGGAGAAGTGTTCGACATAAGGATTTCAGTTAAAATAAAAATCTACTCGAAATAAAGCTCTAAATATAGAGAGTTGGCAAAATGCATAAAGAACACCGACATGCATGCGGTTTAGGATTACGTTAAATTTTGTGCTTAAAGTTTATTTTTGGTTAGAATTCGAATTATGTTTTTGAGTAGGACTCTAATTTAATTTTGTGTATAAATACCACTTCAAATCAATTAGTAAAAAGTTAAGTTTTTTCTTCTCAAAATTCTCCAAGTTTAAGAGAAGCTAGAAAACAGAGGAGCATGCATAAACATACTCTGTTTTCTTTCCCTCCCTCTCTCTAAAATTACGAAAAAAATTGTGATATGTTTGATTTAAAATCAACAGAAGAATTATCACATCAATTCTTGAAAGTTTAATTAATCGTAATTGATCGAAACTCTATAAAAGTACATTATCTGCTTGCTACTATTGCACCATTTCTAAAGGGTAGGGAAGACTAACTACTCAACTATCCTAACGACTAACTAGCAAGAAGCAATGCTCCTAAACCCAAATCTATAGATTTTAAGATAAGTTTCAAAATGCACAAAAGAATAATAAATGTAACAAATTTATTATATTGCTCATGATAGAACTACAAACACGATTCACCTAATAATGTATAAAGATAGAAACATGAATTGTATAAATATTAATTATTATTTATTTTTAGAAAAGAGCCTTAGCTTGTTTTGGGTACTAGATGGTGAGTCAGCTTATGGATGGCTTCGAACTCTAATGGATCGAGCTTATCCTTTTCTATCACTCGTGTTATAAACCAACCAAAACCATTAGTGAAGATAACGTCGAATCTATGGGTAAGCCAAATCATTTAAAATTATGGTCATCATCTCAGTAGTCAATTACTTACTTAAAGCTACAACTGAATGTACCCATTTTCCATGCTACACCTCACCAACAACTGACACGTGTATCTCCCATCTGATCTGCTTCAAACACTTTCTTTACTTCGTCTACTTAATTACACGTGCCATCATCCTATTTGACAGCATGTCACGTGTGAAATAGATTATTTTATATCATTACCATGTTTGATGTATTTTCATGAATTATATGTTTGTCTAGCTGTCACGAACTCCTCCTCTCCCCAAAAGGTGAATCCATTGTATGCATACATATACGTATATATATATCATGAACCCCTCCTACCCCAAAAATGATTCAGATATTGTATACATATATATACATACACACACATTAACAGAAACAGCAGATAACTAGGCGCTCAATATTTTGATCTGGGTTTAATGGAGAAACTAGAAATGGTTGAAGATCCAAGGTGCTGCTTAATGGTGTTGCATCATGACGATCATAAGCATGCAAAACAAGAAGATGATCTCTGGGTGATCATGGAGAGTAGTGATGAAGATAATCATACATACAACACGATGTCGTCATCATCATCCTCCTCCTCCTCCTCCTCCTCCTCTCTAGGGGATACAAGCAGCCATTCAAATGGATCTTCATCATCAGCAGCAGACATGGTATATGATGCATCTTCGTCATCTTCAAGTACTTGTTCATCTCCTAATTCCAGTGGACCTTTATATAAATTGTTGGAGCTCATGGACCAGCTTCCCATCAAGTGAGTTACATGCATGATCAATTAACAGTACCCATATATATACACATATATAGCTAGAGAATATTTTTAACTAAATTCATTGATTCATTAATTGTCATGCACAAAACAATTATAATCTAATAAAAATAACCTCAAATGAGAACAAATACAAATTTCAAGAATATAGATGTACACATTTATATTAAATAATTTTTATGTTGGGTGCAGGAGAGGGCTTTCCAGGTACTACAATGGCAAGTCTGAGTCATTTACTTGTCTGTCAAGGGTGAGGAGCATCGAAGAATTAGAAAAGAAGGAAAATCGTCCTTACAAGAGAAGAAAAATGAAGTCATTCTAGCAGCTATGGAGGTTAGTTCACGGATACCCAGAAAGCCCACCATTTCAAAGAAGATGTGAAGAATTTTTTTTTTTTTTTTTTTCCATTCCCGGCCAGAAATGGAAACTGTAGGCCTCCTCTGCTTCTTCTGCAGAACCACACTTTTGTTATTTTGCCTCGTTGTATATTATTTTTACTTTTTTCTTTTAACCTACATGTTTTTGCTATACAAGCAGGTTGTATCTATATACACGCATACAAATTTATATAGAGAGGAACAAGCTTAATTTACTACTATAAGTAGTTAATTACTTATTAAAATGATATTTATTGTGAAATCCAAAGGAAACTTTTGATGGCTTTAGAAGTTTGATAATTAATTATCTCCAACAATTAGTAGTAATTAACCTACTGCATATTGTAATCATGCTCTAGCCCTACCATATATTACAGTCATGTTCTTTCCCTCAATTTGTTGCGTAACTTATAAGCACCATTACCTCCTTTCCTTTTTGGTAAAGATAAAGATCCAGATCGAAAGTTCTTTTGAAATTAACTAATTTATCTACAATCTTAGGCTTATTGATTCTGCGGCTTCATTCTCTTAATAAGTTTCTTGGTAAAGGGTAGACCCATTTTGCTTTCAAAGACATTGTTTTTTTTTTTATGCTTTTCTTGGTAAATGTGTTTAGTTCTAAACATAAAATTTTTTTAAAAAAAATAAAAAATAGAGGAGCCAAATTCAGAAAATAAAGCACCTAAATATAACAAAATTGATAAATCATGTGCAATAATAGTTTCATATTTTTATAAATTTATCAAAACATCAATCACCATCCTTCCATCATAATGCTTTTTAACATTATCCACAAGACTTGTCCATAGAATCTATATCACACTAAAGCATTATTTTAATATAATATGCATCCTCATTCATGCATCAATTGATTTAATATATTCAAAAATAAAAAATATAAACCTGACATGATATAATACAAATATATTATAATTGACAGGAGTAGAGCCCTGTAAACTCTTAACAATAATAATATAAATTTTAACATCTTGAAATCACCATTGGAAGTTAATATCTACGTTATTATTTGTGCATAATATGCAACCAATTTTAAAATTTTAACCCTCCCAATACAGCTCAATTAAACAATGGTTCTTATATTATTCTATTTCCCTCTAAAATTATCTATATACTCAAAATTTTTTTAATTAGACAAAATCTATATTTCTAACTAATTAAAAAAAATCTAAATGTAAAAAAAAAAGTATAATTTCATTGATAAGAAACTTTTTTATAACGGCATTTACAACAGTAATCTATTAGATTCTATTGCGAATAATAAACTCAATTTTCTATATGAATAATCCATATAATTCCTCAAAAAAGATATACAATCTTTTATTAGATTCTATTACGAATAATAAACTCAATTTCCTATCTGAATGGTCCATATAATCCTTCAAAAAAGATATACAATTTTTTATTAGATTCTATTTGCTTGAAACACTTTCTTTACTTACTCTATTTAATTACACATGTCATCATCCTATTTGACAACATGTCCTGTGTAAAATAGATTATTTTATATCATTACAATGTATTTCCATAAACTTTATGTTTGTCTACCTCTCATGAAACCCTCTCCCCCAAAAGTGAATCCATTGTATACAAATATATATATATATATGTATCTATATTATCTATATCGTGAACCCTTTTACCCCAAAAGTGAATAGATATTGCATACATACATACACCAAAAAAAAAAAAAAACCTATTAGTAGAAAATAGCTAGGCGCTCTATGCTTTGATATGGCTTTAATGGAGAAAATACAAATGGTTGAGATCTAAGTTGCTTAATGGGGTCGTATCATGATGATCATAAGCATGCAGAATAAGAAGATGATCTCTGGGTGATCATGGAGGGTAGTGATGAAGATAATCATACATACAATATGATGTTATCATCATTATCATGCTCCTCTCTAGGGGATTCAAGCAGTCATTCAAATGGATCTTCATCATCATCAGTAGACATGGTATGTGATACATCTCCGTCATCTTCAAGTACTACTCCATTTCCTAATTCTAGTGGACCTTTATATAAATTATTGGAACTCATGGACCAACTTTCCATCAAGCGAGTTTTAAGTATGATTTGATACATACACCAATTTAACCTAATAGAAATAACTTCAAAATGGAAACATATATAAAATTTCAAGAATACATATGTATATATATAGATATGTATTGAATAACTTTTCAAGTACTATAATCGCAAGTCTAAGTCATTTACTTATCTGTCAAGGGTGAGGAGGAGCATAGAAGAATTAGGAAAAAAGGAAAATCACCCTTACAATAGAAGAAAATGAAGTCATTGGTGGGTTAATGGATACTCATAAATTATAGGTTAGGTACCAATTAGAAAAGTAGGAAAATTTTGAGTGAAAGTTTCTCTATATAAGGTACAAAGAAAACCAAATAATTGTTTGAACAGATGAATGATTTTTATTGATGGATGGTGGTGAATTTATAAGTAAAGGAGTCCTAGAATTTAGCAACTCACAACTACAAAATAGCGAAGAAAATAAAAAAAGAAGACTAACGGCTAGCAGATCATGACTAGATTTTTAGGGCGTGTGTGGTTTGTATTTTGTTGGGTTCCACCTTAACTCCTTGGATAAGTGACAATGTAACCCAAATACTCAAGTTTCTGCTGCTCAAATCTAAATTTTTTAAGCTTCACATAGAACTAGTGTTACCTCGAAATTTCTAGTACCTGTCTCACATGATCAAGATGCATAGCTCAATATGGACTGTAAATTATAATGTCATAAAAAAGTACAAGAACAATCTTATAGAGGTAAGGCCAGAAGATGGAATTCATCAGGGCTTAAAATGCTGATTGAGCATTACACAAACTGAAAGGCATCACCAGATAATCATAATATCTATTATGAGCGCGAAAAACAGTCTTAGGAAATGGATGTACTTTGACCTGATGATATCCAACAATTAAGTCTAGTTTGGTGAAATAAGTTGCCTTATTTAACTCATCCAGCATGTCATCTACTATTGAAATAGCAAAATGGTCCTTAATTGTAATAGAATTAAGGGTCTTGTAATATGTCCAAAAGTGCCAAGGGCCATCTTTCTTGCGAACAAATAATATCAATGAGGAGAAGGGTCTAGTATTAGGTTTAATCAACCCATCTTAAAGCATGTCATTTACCTGCTTTTCAATTTTATATTTTTAGAAGTGTGCATATCGGTATGGTCTCACGTTAATTGACTATGTTTCTTCCTTGAAAGTGATGTGTTGATCCAGTCTTGTCCTGGTGGCTGTTGGTAGGGCTCCTTGAACACATCTTTATACTCAGTCAACATCTTTTGCATGTCTAGGTCAACTTCGGTTACTTCCGACTCTACTTTGGCCAACATACAGATAGCACACACCGAGTGTCGCTAGCTTACCTCCCTGGTCACCTTTTTGAGAGAAGCAATATGGATAGGGAGCATTAAGTGATGTTCTGTGGCATTCGTTCCACTAGAATTTCATTATGAACTATGTCTAATTACAGACAACTGGTCTAAGCATGTCCAGCCACTGTATACCTCACGCTAAATCCAAAATAATTAACGATAAAGCAAATAGATTGAGTGTGATTAAGATACCTTGTATCGTGATTAGAATGTCTTTGAATCGGCCTCGACAATTGAGTGGTCAATTGTTTTTAACCTTAATTGAAAAGGACCAGGTGGACACGACTGACAGCCATAACAGATCTACTATCCACTCACTAACGAAGTTGTGAATAGAGTCACTATTGATGAGGACCACCACTGGGTGTTTCTTGATGCATCTCTATCATCTTCAAATACTACTTCATTTCCTAATTCTAGTGAACCTTTATATAAATTGTTGGAGCTCATTGACCAGCTTTTCATCAAGTGAGTCATATGTATGATTTGATACATACACCAATTTTAACATAATAGAAATAACTTAAAAATAAAAACATATACAAAATTTTAAGAATACATATGTGTGTGTGTATATATATATGTATTGAATAACTTTTATGACGGGTGAAAAATTTTTGAGTGAAAATTTCTCTGTTTGGGGTGCAAAGGAAACCACATAATTTCTTAAATAGATGATTGATTTTTATTGATGGATGGTGGTGAATTATACATAAAGGAGTCCTATAATTTAGCAATATACAATTGGAAAATAACAAAGAAAATAACAAAAGATGACTAATGGCTGACAGATTGTGAACATATTTTTAGGGTATGCGTGGTTTTTATTTTTTTGAGGTCCACCGTAACTCCTTAGGTAGTGACGACATGATCCAAATACTCAAGTTTCTACTGCCCGAATGTAAACTTTTTGAGCTTCATATAGAATTGGTGTTGCCTCAAAATTTTCAGTACCTGTCTCACATGATCAAAATGCATAGCTCAATGTGGACTGTAAATTACAATGTCATCAAAAAGTACGAGAACGAACTTACAAAAGTATGGCCAGAATATGGAATTCATCAAGACGTAAAATTTGGATGGACCATTACATAAGTTGAAGGGCATCACAAGATATTTATAATATCTATTATGAGTGCGGAAGACAGTCTTAGGAACATCAGGTGGGTGTACTCGAACTTGATGATATCTAATAGTTAAGTCTAGTTTGGTGAAGTAAGTTGCCCCATTTAATTTATCCAGCATGTCATCTACTGTTGAAATAGCAAAACGATCCTTAATTGTAATAGAATTAAGGGTCTTGTAATATGTGCAAAAAGTGCCACGTGTCATCTTTCTTGCGAACAAATAATATAGGTGAGAAGGGGCTAATATTAAGTTGAATTAGGCTATCTCAGAGCATGTCATTTACCTACTTCTCAATTTTATATTTTTAAAAATGTGCATACTGGTTTAGATCTACTTCCTATTTAATCGCGACCAAACGATCCAGATCAAACGCGATGGACGACATATATAAAAGAAGACGGTATAAATAATCCTCTTCACACCAAACCCTAACCCTAACCGACAGACACCTTCGCTGGAGAAGAAGACCCAGCCGCTGGGAATGAGAGCTGCCGTCACCCACCGCCGCGCCAGAGCGACTTCCGACCGCCAAAAGAGGTAAAAAAAATTTCTTTGCTCGGAATTCAATTTTAAACACCCCCATGGCCAAATCAGAGCCAAAAGACTGGCAGATTGGTCGAAAACTGCGGGCAAAACCCGGTGCCACCGCCGTAAAAAATTTCAAAAACTGCCTCCAATGAGGCCCTTCTCGATTCCCGTTCTACGTAATTCTTTCACCATTGTAACCACTGTTTCCTCCTCTACAGGTTGACCGAAGTAAAACACCCAACTGCAAAGGTGAGCCAGCGGAGCCGCAGCACTGGAGAACCCCGCCGCCGATGAGTTTCGATTTTTCATTTTTTTGGGCCAACCGAGACCCCTTAACGTATTTTCTCACAGAGATTGATGCAAAATCGGCTGAAAATAACCGACCCGAGAAAAACCACCGCCACTGGCAGCTGTGCCGTTACCAGAACACGGCAGAGCTGCCGTGCCGAAATTTTAGAATTGGCAAAAAAGATGTCCTGATACCGATTTTGGATTTTTTTGGGATATTTGTAGGTACTTGCAGCGTGCTTTAATTCCCGAAGAAAAATTCGGAGAACTTGGGGACCGCCAGTACGTATAATTAACAAGTTTAGCATTTGGGGCATCAATTTGAGTAAGAATCCTTCACCCTATTCTCTGTTATAGAATTGAAGTCAAATTAATAATAAATATGGTATTTTGTGCAATTTAGAAAATATCCATAATCAATTATAGGTTACTAATAGAATCAGAAGTAGAAATTATTCACTGTTGATTTTGTTGAATGATTTTACAGTTTAAATGTATGATAGTATCAGATTGATCGATTTTATAGTTTTGAATACATGTATCGTTTGTTTTATGTGATTACGGTTGAATTGGAAAACTGTAGATTAAAGGTAAACGGAGAACTGTGTGATTAAGTGAATGGATGAAACGACAA